GAGACATGACTGTATTCAGAGTTATGTTTCCAGGAATTTGAACTCAGCTGTTACTCGTGCTTCCGCAGCGGTAGACTAAGGAATGCCCGCGGTGGTGTCTTGCTCTACATCCGGTCTTCCCTGGTTGGTAGACTTATAAGCACCTACCGAAGTGGCGATGGTTTGTGTGAGCTAATGTGGTGCTCCATCCACCTCAAGCTCGGAGAACTACTTGTAGGCTCAGTCTATCGCAACCCCTGAGTCGTTGCTTCGATTGGTTGCCTCATCTTCGAACCCACATGAGTCGTCTACACTTTCTACTTATGGGCGATTTTAACTGTCCTAGAATACGATGGCCTGAGATGCGTTTTATGCCTGAACTTTGTGAGGCTGAAACAAAGTTCTTTAGTTAGCACTTGAAACTGGTGCACTGCAGCACATATGTCAGCCAACACGCATAACAACACATTCAACCCCGTCCTGTCTCGACCTGATGTTAACTAGCTACGAACAACGAGTGCGTGACGTTAGGATCCTGGAGCCCCTGGCTACGAGCGACCACTCAGTACTGATAGCTGATATGGAATTACTTTTGCCGTATTCACATTCGCTGGAACCAGTTTACAACTACTGGAAAACGGACTTCGACGGCCTAGCTTGAGCCGCGAGCCAACTGGATTGGCCTCTGTCACAATCTTCATCTGTGGAAAAGCGTTGGACATTTATGAAAGAGAGATTGACATCATTGTGTTCCCAATTTGTGCCCTTGAAATGTCGGATGGTTGGACCGATAAAGCCTTAGTCGTTTGACAATGGGTATAGAAATCTGGCTCCGAGGCGGTGTAGACTTTGGGACAGATTCTTTCTCTCTGGCACTGCCAACAACTACGAAGGGTCTAAAAGTCAGCGGAAGCTCTGCAGCAGTGCAAAAAGGAATAAGCGCAGACATTTCGAGGAGCAGCTAGCAATCGCCGCGCGGTCCGCCCCTAAGCGAATCTTTGCTTACGTGAAGCGACGCCTGAAGCCGGCAGGTGATATGCCAGTGCTGGATGGCCCGGATGGACAGCGCCTAACCTGCAGCAGTGAGCGTGCGTCCGCGTTAGCGGCGCAGTTCTCTTCTGCATTTGCAAATGAACAGGTGTCTGTTCCGAGTTCGACGTGTACCGCTTTTACCGAACTCGACAGTCTGGATTGCGGCGTTGAAGAGGTATGTCAACTACTCGCCAGCCTTGACGGCACCAAACCTGCCGGACCTGATGGGCTTCACCCACTGATTCTCAAGTCACTTTCGGCCATCATCTCTCCTGTCGTGACTGACCTTTTCAACAGGTCGCTGTCCGAAGGTTCGTTGCCGATTGACTGGAAATGTTCGGTGGTGAAGCCTATTCCGAAAGGCGGCGACCCTAGCAAAGTAGACAACTACAGGCCAATTTGTCTGACACCTATTTTGGCAAAGGTTGCTGAGAAAATCGTAAAAAAGGGATTATTGCAGTTGCTACAGTCAAAAGAGGTCCTGACGCCCGCACAGCACGGTTTTATGCAAGGCCGCTCATGCATTACAAACTTGCTTGTGACGAGGCATGAGTGGTTGAAGGCAATAAGCAAGGGGAAGTCTGTCGACGTGATATTCATCGATTTCAGTAAAACGTTCGACAAGGTCAGCCATGAGGTTCTCCTTCACAAACTCAGAATGTGCGGTGTCGGTGGCTCACTACACCGGTGGATCCGCGACTGTCTTGTTGGACGAGGGTGGAAGGTACAGGTCGACGACCATCTAACTGACCGCTATCCCTCTACACGTGGCGTGCTTCAAGGCGCTGTGCTGGGACCCACTCTGCTCCTGATTCACATCAACGATCTCTCTCAGCTTCCCCGGTCGCCGTGTGCCTTGTTTGCGGGACGACCTGAAGATTTGGGGAATATTGTCCCCCAAACGCCTATTCACATGGCCTGCAGAAGTTCTTCTCCCGGTCAACCCAGCCAAGTCTGTATTTATGAACCTAGGGAAGAGTGCTGACGACCGAATATAGAACCTTGACAGCCAAGCGCTAAATCCCACACCCTCCGTGAAGGACCTAGGTGTACTCTCGCGCTACGATTTGGAGTCCGTGGACAACACAAATAGGCTATATCACGGACTGCACGTGCTTTGGGCGCTCAAACGTAGCTTCGGCACATGGTCTGAAGAGGTTGCCACTTGCCTCTTCACTTCCATCATTAGACCAATGCTAGAGTACGGTTCGCCCGCCTACTTTTCGATCATCCGAGGCGAGGCACAAAAGATTGAACGAGTCCAACGCGTTGCTACCAGGCTCATCTCGAGTTTACGAGGCTGGGGGTACTAAGACCGGTGCGAGAAACTAGGACTCAACACGTCACATGCGGACATAGATAAACTTGTCTTACCGGATGTGAAGCGAGTTCTCTACCCGCTGTACTTCGAACGGAGAGTGGTAAATATTTGAACATGCGATGGAGGCAACATCTGTGCAGCAGTTCAAAAGGTTGTTAATTTATAGCTTACCACTATTCGATTCAGAGAACGATTGCACAGTTAAGATCACATGTCACATTTGTGAGTCCTGCGAAACCGTGAGTAAGATCTTTTAAATGTTACATGAGAACGATAACGATATTCACGGCCGACAATATTTATAACGTTTTTCACCGAATTTCCAAAGAATTGTACGGCAAGCACCGTTGGATTGTTCTCCATCGACATCGAGAGCATGGTGCTGTAGCACATGCGGTCGCGAGTGCCTGAGTCAGGCAGGCCTAGTGAGCCATGAGGGAGGCCACTCGGGACTACTACCGAAGCGCCGACGGGTTCTGCAGAGAATGTAGTCAGAACCGGCGCAGCGTTTGTAGGCACGTTGCATTCGATTTACTAACCGCGTGCTTGCATGCTAAGTCTATTTATTTCAGGTGTTGGGTTCACAATTTTGCCTTAATGCTTTTCTTTCCCATATAAATGCCTAGTTATACTCTCTTCTATACACTCGCACACGTCGCCTAAGCCACTTGTAGTTATTTCGATAACATTTTCGTTTTTGTAGCATTTCTGTAAAATAAACCTCCTATCCTCGTGAACTTACCTCGTGTTCTTTTGTAAAAATATTCTTTTGTAAACTTATTTCACATGCTCACTAATTTAAGATTTATGTCATCGTTTGCTTGCGTGCTAAGTCTGTTTATTTCAGGTGGTGGGTTTTCAATTTTGTTCTAATGCCTTGCTTTCTCATATAAATGTCTACCTGTACTCTCTTCTATAAACTTGTACACGTTACTTAAGCCAATTCTAGTCCTTTTCGAAAACATTTTTGTGTTCGTGGCATTTCCCTAAAGTATAGCTTCTGACCTCTTGAACCTATCTCGCATTCTTCTGTAAACAACTTACTTCAGATGCTCATTACTTTTAGATATATGGCAACCTTTCCTTATGCATTACTCCATTTATTTTCTTTGTTATCTTTTCTCAAGTGGTTGGCTATTTGCTTGATATCCCCGGTGAGGCTGCGCTTGATGTGCATGTTGACAAGGTGCCTGCCTGTCTATTACCGACTACCTCGTGCATACTGACTCCAGGAGACAGTTGGTCGTTGCTGGAGGGGACGGGGTGCACGGTCCTTGTGGCCATGTTAGGATCAAAGAGTGGTTCCATGTACTCAGTGTGGAGTGGACTACTGTCCAAGAACCGCATTGTGTGCGATTGATTTCACAAATACAGCGTGCTTGTGTTTGCCTGTGAAGGAGTGTGGGCCGGCTCCGTTGATGAAACGTGGCTCCCATCCACATGCCTCCCGGTCTTATTCCTTCGGGTTTACACTGGATATGGGGTGTGTGGTTGGAGCTGTGGGTAGTGCATCGCAAGTTACCCATGGTCCCTCTGTAGGGGCAAGCGTCCTGTGGCTGGCCACATTGACAGGCAAATCCGAAACCGGATGCCTCCAACCATATATATATATATATATATATATATATATATATATATATATATATATATAATTCTTGTACTCTAAACCTTTTGAAAATTTGCGAACACGCAACTGTTCCCAACTACATCAAATGCATATTGTGATAAATAAAACACAGTTCGTTATACGAGCAGGAACTATTCGCCCAACCCTAGAGGATTTTTTGCAATTTTCTCTTGTGAATTGATGTGCTGATGACTAGCCTACATCACCGAGAGGAATACAAAATTTTGCTTCCTATGCTTCGCCCATTTGGTAGATGTTTCCTCTGAATACGCTTTTACTATCTTCTTAATAAAACGTCCACGTATGCAGCAGAATGCACTTGCTGGATGCAAACAAGCTATGGATGTTGTCTGCAATAAATACATTGCTAGGGATTACACTGATATTGGCAACACCATAGACGGAAATGCTGCTCCTATGGCAATACTTGTGTAATTTTGTAGTTATTGCCAATCTGTTCCGGAAGGATCTTGAAAGTTCGAAAAGATTTAATCAACTCTTAGGAAATTATGGACTATTCCTGCAAACGTTGTAGTTTTCTTACGTATACAAATTTTTTATTAACTAATAAATGTGCATGGGGTTTGAAAATATACTAAAAACATACAGTCTAACAATGTGTTGTCCTGACCACAAAAGCATGGTTTTGAGGAATAAACTTCCGCTTCTACTTTTTGGAGCGCAAAGGTAAAAGATAATACACTTTGAAAGCAGGAACAGGAAAATACAGATTAAAGTTATCGATCGATAGGCGTCGATCAAACGTTGGAGTTAGCTACCTCCATAGGCTTTCATGACAGTTCTACAGGATCCATGTCACGGTTTAAAGGTAGAAGTTACAAACCGAAAACTTTAATGTTCCATTTTTTGACCTTCGTCTGGTAAAGCAGGAGATGCACCTGCTCCAACTCGATTACAAATCTCACACTTTTGACTGTAACCATTGTACTGTAGCTCTGTTATCTAACTCAGGACTACTTACATACCAGATTAAAGCTGACAGTAAACGAATCCCCATTCACCTATTTGTTTCAATCACAGCCACTATCGTAACAATTCACGGGGGTTTGGAGACCAGGATAGAAAAACTAAAGGAAGAAAGAAAAACGTTACGTTGTCGAGTAATTCAGTTAGAGTCTGCAATGGAGGAGGCGAACCTGCCCATACCAAAGATGGTGGATGATTCGGAAGAAAGCGTGGAAATCAGTTCGAGGCATAACCATGCTCATCAGCACAGAAAGCACCAACGCCTCCACCACCACCACAACAACCGGAACCACTGGATGCAACCAAATGAAGTCACCGAAAATCCCAATGATATAGGATCGGTAACAACCGATTTCCCTGTTGCATCACATCCAGCTAACGGAAGCTAGTGGAGTTGCTGGGACTAAGCCCTCATTAAAACACTTTGTGCTGGGTACCTGTGAATATCCGTAATCAAATAAAACCAAATGAAAAGGTTTTTACATCAAAACAGAATATGCTGCATTCTGCTCACATTTCGCACAAACATTGCAGATTCTGAATGAGTTCCTTAATGTTATTCATACCTAATTATACCTCGCATAGTTCAACTATGCCGTTTAGTTGAAACATTATAGCAATGGACAGCCCAAAGCACGTCAATCACTAAACTTACATCCATCCGTTTTAGAGACGCAGATCCTCGGATGTCGAATCACGTGCTTCTTTGCTCATAAACCAAGAGGTTGACTAATTAATAAATGGGTCAAAGTTTGGCTCCTCACATTGTGGCTACCTGCGAAGTGGTTGGAGAAAGTTGTAAACGGAACTAATGCCTGTTGACTGGGCAACGCTAATAGCGTGCGCAAGTGAGAGCATAGCAACAAGTCTGCTTGAACGATTTACTCTCAACGGAACAATTGGCCCGGATGCCTTATTTACGATGGAAATGTGGAACGTAGCCTGATGTGCACTTGAGAAGAACAGTGATGGAAACTCTCGCGCGCCACTGAAATGCGTCTGTTGATCCTTTGATACATGGTCTGAAGTGTGCAATTCGTAGACTCGAACTCTTCACGCAGACACTTCCAAACACACCACGGTATTTGGAAGCATGCGGTGGTCCTTCTAACTCAGCTAAACAGTGAGAACTGACGAGATAGCCACACAAAGTTGCGTACTCGCATGATCGAAACGCAGTGGGACACCAGTTGCATCACAGCAGTTTGGAGATGGCCACCGCATAGAGTTCCAATGTGTTAGAAACAGCTGTCTGATCAAGGATCAGAAGTGGCGTAACGTACCTGACAATTAGGAGAGGCCTCCACTTAATTCAACCGCTAGGCATTAACTGTCTCAGTGAACTGAATCCTACTCATGCTGATCGCGATCAAGAAGCTGCAAGGAATTTGGGATCGGAGTTTCCTGCGTTGGGAAGTGGCGAGAATAGGTTCCATAATTGTATTTGAGGTAGAAAGGCTGCCAACGTGCACCCCATCACGTCTGGTTTAATCGTGGCACACTTGCTAGCTGGTGGCACTCATAAGCGAGAACCCAAACCGCCATAGCCCAGCACAAGCAAGTAGTGTCGGGTCATAATAAGTCCTGCTATGGGGATCACGTACTTTCCTGACAGTTGTTGATATCTCGCCTAAAGCTCTGCTTCAGCTATTCCATTTTTCACATCCTACCAGAAATGAAAAACCACATGTGGATGGGTTGGCAGATACTTCAACTGTGCACCAAAGCTACCATAGTGGGAATGGTGAATTGTCGGCTCGATAAAGCAACTTTATGGAAAGAAGTACGTAGCAGACTTTACATTTGATTAAAGTATCTATCATTACCAACTGAATAACTATTCACAAGGCAGTTTCTTAGTACCTTTTGGTTCATGCAAGTATTTGCCAATCACAATACAAAACGATTGTCGACAGTGCATAAATATTTACCGTTATAATGACCTGATTGTGACAGAGGAATTTGAACGAGTTCCCCACATATATTAGAGGTTACTGATGCACTGATTCCATTGCATAGTAAATTGAGTATTGCCTTTTGATTCTTTCACTCTGTGGGTTTTTATGGCGGATTATCCGACCGATCCAACCCATGATAAAGTGTCTTCGATTTCAAATTAAAAAAAGAATATTTACTTGATGCTGAGAAAAAAATAGATTCCCTTTTGACATACATTCCCTGCTCTTGCGACAGCTCTTGGAGTTTCCGTTCCATTGGCTGGAAGTAAATAAACTCGAATAGCTACTCAAACATATGTATCCGAGTGCACCCCATGGAGGAAGCGTCCTTTGACTTAGAAGTATTAGTGGCAAGAAATTTAACGGGTGAAATGGAATCAGGTTCCCTGTTGCAATTGAAGTTCGAAGCATAACAATACCTTGGCATGCTTGTGAGTGAAGTGACGGAAAAATTCACTATCAGATACCGGTTGTCTGTTGGTGATCTGCCTCTGGGAAACTGGATGGACATAGAGGAGCTGAGCAGTTCGAGTCACTTAAGCTTTAGCAATGAAGGAGTCACAGTGGCAATGGATACAAACTGCTGATCATCTGTTGAATTGGTTTAGCTAATGAATGGCATGCTGTGATTGATGCCCTCACTGTGGAACATATAGAATGGTTCTAGCAAGTTTATGTGCAAATGGACAGTGCATGTTCAATCCGTGGCTACTCCATCAGGCTTCACTGAAGTATCGGCAGTATTAGCGGCTGAATACTCAGGATCGAGAAGCCGATATTTGTGGACTGAAGAATGGCACTGCCAAACCTGGTGCAATAGATTTTGAGCAGCGACACTCCAGTTATTTATTGGTGAACCGTTATTGAGTTTTCAAAAGGACGTCTAGTCCATGCTAATTCAAAGGATAAAGAAGCAATCCTCATGAGCATGGATGAATGTGTTCTGTCCTGTAGTAATAATTAGAAAGCATAAGGAAGCAGGTACGAATTCGTCTTGGGGCATTGATACCACCGCCGAAACGCATGTCCAGCAACATGGGTATCCCTAAAGTGAATATAACGTTTTGCAAAATCAGAGATCCAGCAAGAGTAGAACCAAACTCATGCAGAGTGTAGGGTTGTGTCAGAAGAATGTAGATGTAACGGTAGTACATCTTAGGAGGCACGTAGCATGTACAAGTGCGCATAATGAAAGGCACTCAACTAATAATTCCGCTAAGCGGTCAGTCAGCGTTGAGCGAAGTTCAACCAATCAGGATGAGTCTAGGGTAGCGAATCAGAAGACAAAATCCCTCGTCGCAACACCTATTTCAGGAGGGTTGGTATCAATCAATTGGCTTTAGTGTACAGCTGGACGTGCGTAGTTCACGGGACTATGGAGCCATCCGGAGCTGAGTTTCACACGTAACTTAGCCAGACTGTGAGGGTGGTTCGATTGCTCTGTAAAGCCGACGGGTGTTGAACATTAAGCCTTCTTCTGATCGATTTGTGCCAGGCCCACATGCATGTGTGATTTCCAGCGGTGAAGACAGATTTGGGTGACCCTTTACGGTACTTCTATCTTTGATCCGAAGGAATGACCCTGGAGGCAGTGGAATTATGGTTTTAGCATAGGACTGATGGTAGGTTGCTATGCGGTTTGGCATTTCGGGATTTACAGAAAAGGACACGTTGTTTGCATCATTAAATTCGGTACGTATGGGTCTCCCTAGCACCAGCGCAGCGGACATTTTACATGTGACTCTATATTCCCAGGTTCTGTGTGAGATCAGCGCTGCTAAGACAGCTTCTTTTCACGCTACCCCATATTGTCTCCTTGAGAGATCGATTAATGCTCTGCACTCTTCCATTAGCTGCAGCATTGTAGGGGGCAGTCGGGGAATGTTTTATGTCGTTGGATTATAGTTTCGAATTCGTAACTTCAGCATTGGGAATCATTATCTGTAACCACTTCCTCTAGTAACCCGCAGCTACTGGACAGATGTCTGAGGAATGGCAGTACTACACAACCTGTCACTTGGTAACATATATGTATCTCAGACCATCTGCTGTAAAAGCAGGTTGCACCCAGTGTATTTTCTTATTCACCAGAGCTGTGGCGACGGGGCTCATAGCAGCAACTGTAATTTTGGTCACAGCTTACCAGGTTTGGTATCGGTTGCACGCGGTCTCGACAGACCGAGAATTTTTATCCGCTACTCGGCAAGTTTGATGATTCCTCACAAATGCTTTCAGGCTTGATGCCATTCGTGACCACTAATGTCGGACTTTATTTTTAGTTCGGACAATACCCACATTACTCTCATGTGCACTCGCGATTATCTTGTTAACCAGTGACGATGGAGCTACATATACTGGTCCTAGCGGTGGACAACCATCTACGACTAAATGTTCCTCATGAATTACATATCACGAAAGGAAATTGCAGAAAGTGTATTGTTCTACGGACATTCATGCTGAACGTAAGACGCGAGTGGCTGCAGTGTCGCGTCTTTTGCGTTCTCGATTTGTAGTACATTAATCGTCTGGGCGGAAAAAGCAGATGCCAGACTAGGTACCATTGCCGACTTTGAGTGCTACTTTCTCATCCTCCATTTCTAAAGGTAAGCGGGATGCTCCATCCACCATCGGATTCTGCCATCCTGGCCGGTAAAATATTTGGAAATCCCAACTGCGAAATCTGGCGTACCAACAATTGAGTTGCGTTGGGTGTAACCATTTAGATTCATTCTTGAGGAAGGAATTGGTCAGTTCATAAAATGAAACGGCGGCCAAAGAGGTAAGGATGCTATTTATCGCAAGCTCACTTACAAACAAGTGCTTCCTTTTCGCCGGCGGAGTAGTTACGCTCAGTGCCTGGTGATTTGCTTGAAGCATATGCCATAACTTTCTCTCCACCGTTTGTAGTTGTGAAAGAACAGCACCGAGGCCGACGTCGGACGTATCGGTTGACAAAAGTAGGGTATCTCGTCAAAGGTGGCAACTAATGGGACGGAGGAAATTCGTCGTTTAAGTTCGTCAAAGGCACTTTGCTGTTCACTCTCAGATAAACAGTGACTCCAATTTTTGTTAGGTTCCGCAATGGATCTGCTACAGTTGCAAAATCAAGAACGTATGGCAAATTGCAAGAGTACGTGTTTAGCAAACACTTTAGTTCCTTTAGGTGACTAGGTATCTGCGAGTTAAATATCGCACGGATATTTTCGTTACAGGGGCGAATGTCGCTACGGGAAATGATGTGCATTAGAAACTAAATCTCAGTGGGGTTAACTATGCACGTTTTCCTGTTCAAGCGGTGATCAAGTTCACTGAGTCGATGAAGGACTTTATGTAAGCGCTCGTCATGCTCCTCTGGCGAGTGATCTAAGACACAAATATCGTCCAAGTAGGCAACATGTCTATCAATACCCAGTCAGGGCTTGAGTCATGAA